ATACGATGACGATGATGGTGGTAATTTCTTGCTGCTTTTTTTAACGGGCGGGTGTACTTATAGTTGTAATGACACACTAGCACACAAATATTAATAAAGAGTAAAAAAACAGATTGAACGAAAAGAAGAAAAAAACGTACAAGCAGCATTCGCAGCGCCGCCACAGTCGCAAGTACTACGTAGACGTGTAGTGTTTGTGTTGCTGAGGGCCGATCGGTATCTGTTGGACTGACATTTGGGGGAATGACTTACACCAACGTTTTTCATTCTTTCTTGAAGCTTCGTTTTGCGTAAATGCGCGAGGCAGATACGGTACTTGCAAAGTGGAATCGACGAGATATCATCAGGCGTTCACCGAGTAAAGCCCAAACTCCATAAGCGCGAAAATGCACGCGACAGCGACGAGCGACGCGACGTAGATCGGCGTCGCGCGATCAGTCGCTAGCGCAGGCAAACCTCATTCACGCGACGGCTTCGGCGAGCGAATTCCACTGTTGCTGGCATGAGGCCGTCAACTCGCACCAAGAAAACCGCGTAGCGAGCGGTTTCTAATTTAAAAATAAGATATATTGTTGTGTAATGGAACGGAAAGTGTTTATTATTGCCTTGCAGCACTTTTTTTATATGCACATGGGTAATAAACAAAGCGTTATTTCTTGTTGCGCATACGTGACTCGGGCAGGGTCACGTGCACCTATGTAGTCTTCGTCTTTTCCGGTTTTTCGCTATTGGCTGCTTGAGCCCAGCACTTCCGGGCGATGAGCGACGGTTTCCAAATCTGGAGAACCGAGCGATCGCGCGAAAACGAGCACGCGACACGTCGCGCGAACGCCCTGTTTCGTCGCTCATAGCGTCGCTCGTCGCTGTCGCGTGCATTTTCGCGCTTATGGAGTTTGGACTTAACAGTTTATGCTGTCATCGATAATGACAATCAGTTTTTTAAGCAGTGTCTGTTTAGGTGGTTGTATACAAGTAAAAAAAGAAAATAAAACGAATGTTTATTGCTGGGAGCATTGTCTAGCTTAAATCGCCGACCCCCAAATATCTTTTCTAAAATTGGCCAACATTGCCGCAATGCAGTCGTGCTGTGCGGCAAAGTACACGCAGTGTATTGAGGTAAAGCATACATAGGGGCGCGCGCGTGTGTGTAAAATGGAAACGTAGCACTGTCATTAGGCATGACAATAGTTATAGCGCGAGAACAAAACGACGACACAGAGACAAGAAGGACAGGAAGGACATAGCGCTCGTGTCCTTCTTGTCTCTGTGTCGTCATTTTGTTCTCGCGCTATAACTATCGTCATGCCATACCAACTAGCCCAAGCTGCCACACTGTCATTAGGCCTCGAGTGTGTGCCGTAATTATACAGGCGCCATCTCCTGCCTCATTAATGGCAGTACGGTGGACAGCACTGCCACCGACATCGGCCTTTGTAACGAGCCCATATCAGTTTACTCTGTAAAAAACGTTTTGTGACAAGCAGTTCACATAGCAAAAAAAAGTAGTTAATTTCTAGTTTATTGCAAAATTAATTCTAGATTGTTGCATGTCATCTCTCAAGAAGTGCTAAATACCTAAGCCGACTCCAGTGGTACTGCAAATTTCCTGCAATCGCATTTATGTTCCAAATAGAAAATGATAGAAATAGAAATGCTCCAAAGAGGAAATAGAAAATGCACTCAAGCTAGCTTTACATGTGAGATGATTATCCATGTTTCATAAACTTTCTTTCAAAGGTAGTAGCTTGTGGTTTGCTATATGAAGTTCTTTCCAGTAATCAAGGAAAATAGCCACTGAAGAATGGTAAAAGATTATACGTGCAGTTTGTCAATGAAGCAATACGCCGACCTTTGCAAAAAATTGATTTCTGAAAACCATGCTGTGCCAGAACTAAGAGCAAAGTGGTTTCAGCAAACTTATGGTAACCCGAGATGATAGCTCATGCTCAAGCATCTTACAGGGGCTGCTTGTCAGTTGGATAGGGTGGTAATTAGGCAAGTGCCTGTCATCAGATCTGGAGATGTATTGCATTTCTTGTCAACAAGTTTTAAAAAAAATGGATTTGAAGGAGAAGCTCAACATGTCTTGAAAGGTTGAGTACACGTCAGTGCTTATTAAAACCTCAAAGTGAGCCCTAAGCCTAGCAGATTTTTTTGTGAGCTGGCCACATTTTATAAAATCTCGTAGGTCAATAATTATTGGATTCACAGCAAGATATGAATGAGGTAGGATTTTGAAATCGGCAGGATTAGAAGTTTCTTTTTGGAAGCACCACAATCTTAAGTTCACGACTGTACTAAAGCACATACATGATATTCCAAGTGAGATATTCTGAACTTAAGTAGTTTAATTTAGTCCTGATAAACGTAAACTGGTTGTTATCTTAAGCCAGTGATCTTCCAGGAGCTTTAGCATATGCCCTGTGTCTGTGTTTAGCATATGCCCTGCATATATCTTGTGTCAATGATGCGGCATTGATGCGGCATTGTAGTAGTTTAACAGAGCTTATCGGCAAGATGGTACACCTTCAAGGAGAAAATAAATTGCAAAAGGGAGACTCACATTAAAACAAGAAACACAGGACATGTGTCAACTTCTATCTGTCTTTATTTGCGGCTTTTCTAGCACAGGACATGTCTGTCTTTATTTGCGGCTTTTCAAACACAGGACATGTGTCAACTTCTGCCTTTATTTGCGGCTTTTCTAGCACGCATGTAAGTAAGCAGACACGTGCACAATATGGCAAGATGCAATGTCACAGCCATTTAACATCGAAAACACCACAAAGCAATGCTCAAGAAACATTTCTGCCTTTCTAAGTTTTAACAAATGTGTCACACACACACAACCCCTGCCTGGAATAACTATCTCATATTTGATACTGATTTTAACGGACATGCTCGGCCGCTCACGTAACAATAAGCCAGATTTCTCAGGCCACTCTATAGAGACTGTATAAGTGCACTCCTTACAACCCCTGGTAACCCTAGATCAGCAAACTAGCTCACTCGGGAGTCGACTCACTCTGAGTCAGATAGAGCCATGAGTCCAGGTGAGTAAACATTTGGGAGTCCGAGTGAGTTTAAGGAGTGAGATATATTTTCTTAGTGAGTTATACTTTTGTTTGCTTACCAGTGATCATGGGCCAGATATGGATCATTATAATATTAATCACCTACCTACACAACGCTTGTTAAACATGAATATATGTGAACATGCTTTGCGTGGAGGCCTTGTTAAAATATTAAATGATGATGGCACAGAAGTCTAGGAATAATGTGAAGCAACATCGAGAATTATTTGCACCAGTGTAATTCCGACATGGCATATATTCTAACAATGTGCAAATATTCAATGACTTAGCACATAAAATTGAATACTAATGCTTTCTATTCAGTAGAGATAATTCGCAAAGCTAAATATCCTTTTAATAGCTCACTAATGTTTCAAAATAACAAGTGCTCCTAAATAAACAGAAAACTTATTCAACAGTATGATACATTGCATCCCAGCTGGCACATTATCAGGAAAGAGATGAGAGCTTATGTAATGCAGTTGACTATTTCACTCTAGGAAAGGGACTTTCCCAGCTCCACAATAATCACTTTAACTTTCTTAAATTCTGAAAGGCCTGTTTATTTTTTACAGATGCTGTACTACTGCTTTTAAAATTTCCAGGAGTCTTCGGCCGTACCTGCGTTAGGCCAACAATAATTTTAGTGTACCTGTTTCTTTTATTGCACTGGAAATCATATTGACTACAGGAAAATGGCAATAAAACGTTTTATGTCAACAGTTCTTGCCAATCCAGTCTTAAGCACATGATCACATGCTGAAACAGTGGCTGATAACCAATGGGTGCCACCAGATTCTGCCATGAGTGAGCACAAGCACGAAACACCTAAGAGGCACCGGATGTATACATCACGGTGAAATGAGGCTTTAAGTTTTTAAGAAGGAAGGACCGTGCACTTCTCAGTGACCACTCCTGTTACTGTCAAATAAGCAGAGAAAAATTTTAGGGTGCAATTTCATCTACCGGCTATAATTTTAAACCCGAATAATGGTTGCCTGAGCAGCAGCGGGCAACATGCACCAGTTAAATGACTCCAAAACTTAGTTCGAAGGCTTCCGCATGAAGCGACATCATATTGTTCTTGCTGCGATTTGCTAACTCTGTTTAAAGATACATATTCTGCTAAAGTAATGAAAGGGTGCTCGACTTTATCGCTATCATTCGTGCCTGTTCTGTATACGCTACAGGATACGAAAAACCAAATTCTAACAGAATTACTTCTGTTAAATTCTAACTGATCACAGATGCTCATTACAGCCTCAGAAAAAATAATGAGCAGTGACTTGTATGTAATCAATTACTTTAGCCTTATTTTCATTCAAAAGCTCTTATCATATATACACTCAAACCTCATTATAACAAAGTTGCATCTTGCAAAAAAAATACGTTTGTTACATCTGAAACTTTTTAATAAAGGTTTATTTCTGATACTATTATATTTTTTTATTTACTTCGTTATAACTGATATAACTGAGCAGTACACGTCTGTCCACGTAGTACCTACGCCACAATAGTATAGTTGTGCATCAAACAGGCAATCACATAACACATGGCCTTTAATTAACACATTAACGCTCGTATGACTCGTTATCACTGCTTACAGGTTCGGCCCCAAACACTTTGTCGGTATCTACTAGCTGAGCGTTATCTACCGAGAGAGATTTGTCGTTATCTACTGAGCACCGCGGTTACAGTGTACATTCTGCCGCGGCGAAGCTTCGTTCGCCCATCAGCGTAAACACAGCGACCTCCCAGGAACTGACAAAAGCGGCAGCGACCTGAATCACACACAACGCGACCACGTCTCCACGGGCAGAGGTTGTTCTCGCACACAGCTAGAAGTCAAAACCAAAACCATTAACAGCCACCACGAGGACCGCCACCTACTTCAAGCCAAGTCAAGTCGGTTTCAAGCAGGGTGAACTTATACGGAACGTGTTGCGCCTGGTAGGTGTTCTGTGTTTACGCATGGTGGTTTTGCGCTTCAAAAGGCTCGTTCCCCCGGGTGCAGTGTACTAGTACACTCTATCCCGGGGCACAGGAAACACTGCCCAAATCATCGTCACCTCTACAGTGTACTAGAAGCAGGGAGACGAAGTATTCTAGTACACTGCACTGCGTACTCTTATTTTGCCGAGAGCTCACAGTGGTATAGGTGTTCTCTAAAAACGCAGTGCGCATTTTTCGTTGCTGCTCGGCCGCATGAACAACGCACAAACCGAAGCAGCGCGGCGGGCTCGCAACGCAGCTGCAGCTAGGGCTCGCCGCCAAGACCCTGCGGTGACAGCCCGGCAGGCCGAAGCGAAGAGAGCTCGCCGTCAAGCAAACCCCGAGTTGCGGCTCAGAGAAGCAGCAGCGAAGAGGGCTCGCCGTCAAGCGCACCCGGAGCTGCGGCGCCGAGAAGCAGAAGCTAAGCGGGCGCGCCGTCAAGCGGACCCTACGGTTAGATATCGCGAAGCAGAAGCAAGACGGAAGCGGCGGCAGGCGAAACTCGAAGTGCGACCGGGGGATGACTCGGCCACGGCCAAGCGTCAAAAGCAGTCGCCACTTCACGTAGGCGGCGCCGACGCGCGCTTCAAGCGCGAATGCTTCAATCACACGTTCGGCCGCAGCAGCGAGGTATGCGACCGCTTGGGTTTCGACAACAACATGACCATAACTGCCAGCATCCGTTACGGGCGATCCCGCGCCAACGCCGCCGCAGTCTTTCCACGAGAGTTCCCTGTCGCTGTCACGTCACCGGCCCCGACACCAGGCTGCAAAGAGCAGAAAGTATGCGCTATATATGATGGTAGGTGATGTGTACGGAAGGTTCGCGGGTTTCCAGATCATCTCCGGTCAAGTTCCTCTAACATCTGTCGCTTTGGAGATATGGCGCATATCTTTTTATTTGTTTTTTGCTTGATGACGTAGTTGTAAGCCATGCATTTAATGTGCACAAATGATTCGCGTCATGCTTGGTATCAAGCGTGACGTGAATCATTTGTGCACATTAAATACATGGCTTACAACTACGTCACTTGACGTCACTGCTAGCATAGAGTTTCTTGTATATACACTAGAGGGAACTGTGGCACTAGTGTCTATGGGGGCTGCAACGCATGGCGCTTCAGCGAGCATGGGAATTGTGGGTAGTACATGGGTTTCCCTAAATCGTACTTTACGTGCTGTTTGGCTTCGCATAGCTTGAAGCTGTTCTGTCACGAAGCAACAATCAGCAATAGTTTATCAGTTACACTTCACCACCTTGATCATCAAGGCTCACCAATTCAAATCGGGTCACAAAGTTCAAGACGGTTTGTTCTTTTATTCAAAACAAAATCGGAACATTGCAACCCCATAAATAAAATTTGAGGCCCGCCAGTATGAAGACTAGGCATATCTATGCACTGCCTATGGTCACTGAATGATCGCAGGGCAAGAGTCCCCTCTAGTTTTCCAGAAAACTCTATAACTGCTAGGGGCGAGCTGGCCATATTGGTGAACAGCAGTTAGACCTTGTGCAGTGCTACCTCACCGCAGTGGCTCAGTTTCTTCCTCCACAATTGTTATATGCACAGTTGTGGCTGCTCTAATCATTGCGACAGCTTTTAAGGAAGAAGCAGCCCACTAATATGAGCTTCTTTCGAACACCAAAGAATGTTGAAAGCTAGTGCAAGCATACAAAAATTCTTAGTGCGAACTCTGGGAAGACCTGGCTGGCGTACATATAAGGCGTGCGAATTTTGAAGAAAATCGCAATGTTCATGTGTGTGGAGCAAACTTCGAATTAGCAAGCCAAAAATAAAATGAGAGATATATAAAGACACTAATTAATGTTTATTATCTTGTGTTTGAAGGAAAGCCGTCCGCATTACTTAACTAGACGAACCCATACTCAGCGCAGTCTCTACCAACGTTTGTAGGACGTGTTTTAGAAACGTTGGTCTCTAAGACTTGGCTACAGCTTTAAGCATGCAGGAGCTGCGCGGCACGAGCGTGCGCAAAATAGTGTCACGAAAAGTGGCTAGTGGAGGCCGAACAGTGCTGGGAAGAGGCCGATGCATGTCGACGCAGCCAAAGGCACTCGCTCTTGATGACGGTCCACATGCAGTTACCAAATCCTCGCTGCTACATTTATGACAAAATGGGCAGAAAAGGTGATGAGCGGTCATGTGAGCACCTCTCTGCACTTCCTCGCTGCAAGTGCTGATGTTTGTGCTGCACACAAACATCAGCATTTGTTGATTTAGCAGCATTTGTGCATCACTGTTTGATAACTCCACACTGACGAATGGGTCGTTTGATGAACCAATCAACTTACCTCTGCAAGCACAATCAATTATACGGCCGTGAAGCTCCTTTGCATACATACTCTTTCCCCAGCCGCTGGCAAAGTAGTAGTGCGATTCCATCGCCTTGTGCCTTTATTTTATCTTATTTTTTGTATCTTTATTTTGCCTAAAGTAACAAGGCTGGTGTTCAAAACAAACAGTCCACGATGTCGCTGAGCCAAACTTGCAGGACAGCGGAGATGTCCAAAGTTGTGGCTGTTCCAAGTAGAACCGTGCAGGTATCCCCTCCGTCGCACCACCGCACCTTTTTCTCATAGCGAGAACACAGTTGCCCTATCAGTTCGCCACATTTAGAGGCTGCCTTGCGCCAACCGGAGGCATGATGCACATGAAAAGACTCGCGGAAAAGAAAGTGACCATGGCAACGTACATCCGTTGCACTGAACACACTAGCACAGCTTGCACATATGGCTTGTCTGTGCAGCTGTTCACCAATATGGCCACCACCACCGGACCACAGCAATGGTGATGTCACATGCAAGCCATGTATACTTGTCTGCACATCTAGGGTTCGTCAGGCGTGCCGGCTATGTTGGTGCTTAAGGGTAATCAGTTGTCCAATGTAACATTGGCACTCGTATTGTAGCACAGGCATGAGTATATCAAAATGAACACCTTAACATGGTGTGATGAACAACATGTAACTAGCATCTTAGGCATATTTTCATAAGCAATGCTTGACTACTGCTCACTAAGTCATAGGAGTAATGTATGATCTTTATTGCATTGCTACGATACCGGGTAGCCACCACTGAAAGCACAGTTGTTCCCCTGACATATGATTTCCCTTATTATTTTCAAGCGCTGGCATAGCTCTGTGGCAGTATACTTGACTCTCATAAGGATGTCTGCTTTCAATTCGAGCTCAAACCGTGATTTTTATCTGCTGCATTCATTGGCAATTCTCACTCACTGACAGCGATGCCAGCACCAGTTTGTCCACTGGCTCCCGAAGGCTATCACTTTATAGTTTCCCAAGTCCATTCTTGTTGAGTAGTACTCGTCTCGTTTCTTTCTTCCTCACTTGTGTCCTCGTATTTTACGCCGCCTCCTCAAGGGTGTATTCTTGTGTTCCTGCCCTGATGTAGCCTGTTTATCACCTGTGGTGCATACGGGCATCCATGGGCCATGGTATGTAAGTGTGTATCATTTGGGACAGAGATAAAGGGTTTCATATTCATAACATGCGTGACCACCATATTACGTTACTCACAAAGCGACTAGTTAATCGTATTCACGATATGCTAATGTCATCCAGTGCTGAATTAGGTACATTGGTACATACAAAGCCAAGGAATTAACCAAGAAAGCACAGTTACAGGCAGTTAGATAGGTGTACATAAACTGTCAAAGTGCGTTAGGCACGCAAGAAAGTGCTTTGCATTTAATACTTGACTGCCTTGCAGAATGCCCAAGCTCGATTCTGGCTCAAATCATGATTTTTATTCATTGCCTTTATCAGCATTTCTGACTCGCAACACCTACACTGTATTTGCTGCGTCTCGCTCCCCTTCATGCTATTGCATTTAAGGTACAGACAAACACTTGGTACAAGAGTTTACATAACCGCACTGATGTAAACATTGTTGCATTGGCTAAAATAAACCATGCTTTTCGCATTAAATGCCGATTTATATTTTTACTTAACTAAAGTGGTGAAAAATTACTTTTGGCACCCCAGGGGGCAAAAAAGTGAAGGTGCATATAATTCCTACCATTCAACCTTTATTGATACACGCGGTTAATAGTATCTCTGTTACTTTTGAAACACAGGGCACTTTTCTTTTACGCGATGGTGGTAGATTGTTTTGCAGCATCGGTGTCGGCATCCTCAGTTGTGGGCGAAAGATCATCTTCTCTGTGGCGAAAAATCAAGAAATATTTAACAAAGTAAATAATAAAAATTTCTAGGTCGAACCCAGGCTGTTTGCGTGCAAAGCAGACATTCTACCTCACAGCCATGCATCTGCCTGGAAATGCAGTGTCAATAACTTCCTCTGCTTAACTCATGCCTTAGAAAAACATGCATTCTTTATACAGGCTTCACAATGCAACAGAGAATATTGTGGTAATATTGTGTGGTTTAGGCTTACATTGTCATTGGCGGTTGGTACATGTGATTATTATAACTACTTTCTTGGTTTAAAGGATCACTGACATCAAACTTCAAGATCGAGATGTGCCCATCATTCGATCGCTTGGTATGCGTAGGTCTTCTTGGCCAAATTTGAACAACATTCGTCGCGTGGAAGTTATTTTAATTCTATGTCAAACAGCGTAGAAAAGCTAAGGAGAAAAAACGAAAAACAGACTGCCCTGCGACATTGACACTAGTGCTACGTGTTCGGTGTAATACATTCCACAAATACCATCCTGAGTGACGATGCCCTAGTAGCGATGACGTGTGCGATCCGAGTGTTCTTATCGTAGCGCTGAAGTGGCAGAAACACACTCGCTCGTCCATGGCCGAATTAGCGCGCGCAGGTGCAGCCTAGCCTGGCCATGGCTCGTTGCGTATGATCTTCATCACACTGGTTTGAATGATTTCGTGAAATTATCAAGATAAAAACTACCTTTAAAAGAATGGCGAAAGAAAAGAGCATGCTTAAACGTGTGCTTGTCGGTCAGCATGTCGGGGAATCATGAGTTGCAGGTGAGTTGCAGTCGCCTAGTTCGAAGCACGGAAAAAGCGCAATGAGGGTGTCTTTTCATATCATGTATGTGTTACACATTAACACGACCACAAGCTATCTAAAGTGGAAGGGCGTGTAGTCAGATATCATCGCTAACAAGTAACACGCAGGTATCGTTGAATTTTAGTTCATATGTAGACTTTGCGTCCACGTAAAAGTGGTTATACCATGTTAACCGCGAGAGGCTGGGGCCATCTGGAGGTGCAAAAAAGAACCTGACAAGCAGCAAACGTATTCAATTTCTCCGCTGATGCTCATTTGCGGTAGCTATATTGCATTGACCCCTCTGCGTATACCTGAATGCTTTGCACGTCAAAACACACCAAAATAGCTGAGACACATGAGCAAACATGACTTAAGCTTGCATCTCGGGCACCTCTGTAGTGCTGTTTAGAAGGGCGTCCATTTCGAAATCACTGTTCTGCAAAAGGTCGATAGAAGCAAAAATAATTCGCGACACCGCGAATCGCAGGGATTCCAAGCTCCAGACTATCGTATTGAACCCGAGTCGACACTTTGTACGGCGACGACAGCAATGCAGGTGACAAGGCATGACTGAATGTGTCCGCCTAACAGACGAAATGTTTGTGAAGAAGTCGAGCCTGACGTCACTCTTTTCTGTGAAGAAGTGGTCAGCTGTGGCGTGATCTGGAGGTGACCGCAAGGTAGCGCCACTGCTGGTGCTCCCAGTGCTAAAAATGGCGGGATTGCCGGCCATTTTTGAATAGTGCTGAATCCCAGTAATATAGATCAATAAAAGAGATAGTTATTCATCCCTCAGTTGCGCTTTATGTCTCGAATCGTCGCTGCAGGGTCTATAGCTACTCGCTGACGCAAAAATCTTGGCATGAATAAATTTGATGTCAGTGCTCCTTTAAAGCTGGCTGCCCATTACAAAAGCCACAGACGTTACTGCGCATATTTCGTTAAGACCAAGTAGTGGGAGCATAGACTGTTTGAAAAAATTTTATGCGCATGATTACTAGTGCTTCAACTCTTATGATACCACACCTATTCAAATCGATCACCAGTGATCGATGCTTTGGATAGTCAGTTTTGGCATGTTGAACTTGTACCTCGTGCAGCCAGCGCTTTCTTATAGTTTTTCCAGCCACTCAATTTTCAGAATCAACTTAAATTTGCCCATTTGGGCAACATTGTGATTTTTGAAAGACTTTTGCGTGAACCAGTGTGTGTGTGTTGTAAAAATGCACTAGGATGGCAATTGACATACGTGCATGCCACTCGTGATTATGCTGCAGTAACATCAGAATTTGGTAATGAAAAGAACTTTTTAAAGTCAAATATTAAATTAAAGCGTCAGCTTCGCAATTCAATAGTGTTGAGCAGTAATAATTGCCAGAAATTTATGGCAGCTATTCGATAGAAAGCTGTTGCTAGGAGTCAGGGAAAATTTATAGTACAAATATATTTCCAAAGGTTTGCTGCAAGCATAAAGTGTGGAAGTGGCTTTTTCAGCCAGTTTTCAGTAGCTTTGGTCTTGCTTGTATGGTTATATTAGACGCAGAGTCGCATTCATGGTCACTAGTCGCTCCTATGGCGTCATGTGCGCATGGATGCACACCAGTGCTGTAAAAAACACTGGCTGCCGAAACTCTCTTGAAACCGCACCTGGATTGAGCGAAAATGAGCTTAGAGTCTGAGGATGACAGCACCTCAGCTTCAAGTTTTATGACGACGATGTTTTGCATCAGCCTGAGCAGCCGTTCGTGGGTTTGTTTTGTTTACGACCTCAAATTATCCCCTTCGTTGCAAGTGCATAGCTGCTGACCTTTGTGCACAATCTTATAGCTACTCTGGTTGCGTGCAAGGTCCAGACTTCGTTGGGGCACGCTGTTCTGGCGCCGGCTGCGGAGCGTCTCTTAACGACAGGGCAATCACAGCACTTCTTGGCCCCGACTATGGAGCAGCGTGAAAAGTTTTACAACTGTGTGCAACATCATTCTTTTTTTTTTAGTATGATGTGCAAAATGCTAAGAAATATTCTTTGATGCATATAGAGGAATGCCAACCTATGCGGGGTGAGAGGGCTCATTGAAAAAGGTCAGGTCATTGGACATCTGATTTACAGAGGGATTATTCACATCACAGGAGTCCATCTATATTGAAACACTTGGAGACTTTTATCACAAAAAAGCAAAAATTTACTGATTAAAGTGTGCATTTGTCTCGCGCACAAGCAGGCAATGCTTCACTCCATTGCACAAGCAACGAAGCAGCACCTTGGTTCTTATTTTCGCTGTCTATAGAAATAGAAACATTTATAATTGTGGAACATTTATTATTTTTGATACTGTTCCTGGGTGATTTTTCTTCAAATTGTATATTCTGAATTTTCTTTGTATTGAGTACTTTTGCATATATAGGTCTTTTATTGTACTGTTTACTAGCTGGCAACCAACAATTGCACTTTTCACATTTTTATTCCTTCCAAAATATTTTGGTTGCTCTTCAACATATAATTCTTGGGAAGAGCATTTCACGGTGCGAAATTTCGTAGGCTGCAATGAGTGCTGGAGTACTTTTCAAACTGGCAAGAACGATGTTTCTGGGACATATGAAAAATAATCATTTTCACCCGATAACAAAAAAGTTAAAGCGTGCTGCCCATTACACAGAATGCAACTGTATGCGAAAGCTTCATTCACACAAGCCACTTTCAACTTTATTGATTTCAGTGTAGTACTTCACAACTTTGACTTCTCGAGTAACATCACACAATAAAAAAATAGTTGAGCACTAGGGACAAGATATCGCTATCTTGTTCAACTCCTAAATTAAAAGCGACGCTTAAGGGTCTCCTAATTTTTATAACCTCTTCCAGTCTAAGATGTGCCAACACATTTTCACTTTAGCTGTGTAGAATAGCGACAGTGCCTTGACTTGCATTTGATCCGATGCTCATGAGTACGAAAGTTGTTAGCCGAGACCCTAATGATACCTGCTGATGAGCTGGAAAAGTGACTGGCTTGCGAGATGGTAAAGGGACTTCACGCGATGACAGGCATTGGGAAAACTTGTAGCTGCTCTGCCTGCTTTTTATAATAAAAAGGGGTCGAAAATGTGGAAATGAAGGTTGTTAATGACTGTTGACAGTTGTTTGGCAAAGGTTCATGGCCAGAATTTCACTAAAAATTGACATAAATCCAATCCAGAGCATGTCCGTGCCTTGATTTCTCAGTATACATGGGTAGACAAAGTGAAAATTAACTGCATATCACAGTTCAGAAACACTGTAATGCCCGAGTGTGATTAAGCTCATTCTGATGCCTAGATCTTTCTTCATCCCACAGATTGAATCAAAGTAACTTTTCTTTTATTTTAGCATTCTGCAACATTAGGAAAACAATAGATTCCGGTTTATTGGTAGCAGGAGTTTTTATTGACTTTGCAAAGGCATTTGACTTCTTAAATCATAATATCCTTAAATGCAAACTTGATCGATATGGCATTACTGGAACGCCTCTAGAACTCATCAGCATTTACTTAATAGACAAAACACAAATCGTTCATATGGGCACATCACAATCGCCTGCTGAATTAATTAATACTGGTGTACCACAAGGCTCCGTACTGGGACCACTACTTTTCCACCTGTGTGTAAATGATTTACCCTTGCAACTAGACAAGTCCACTGCGCTGCTTTATGCGGGTTACACTAACCTGCTAATTCGTGATAGGAACAAAACTTTGTTAATTACCAATGCTGAACTTAATGCGGGTTCAAATCCTGCCTTGGGATCTTCATCGCTGGTGCACAACCAATGCGGTCACACTTAGTCCTACAAAAACTGTATACATTATTTTTCACTCTGAAAGGCGGCAAATATTACCGCACAATGACAATCTACAACAACTGTTTAATACAGCATGCCACTCGCACTAAATTTCTGGGAGTATACATAGATTCTCACCTAAAATTTCATTTACATGCTCACAACATTGCTCAGAAAGCCTCGTACAGGTTGCATGTTCTTCGTAATTGTCAGAACTTTTTGTCAAGCAAAATACTACGTAATCTTCATTATTCATTCATTCATTCACGTATAAATTATTGCATTGCTGTACAGAGTTACAGGTACAAATCTCACCTTAAATATGTTCTATTTATCCAAAAAAGCACTCTGTGCATAATAATGCCTAATAAAAATGCAAGAGATGACAACTTCTTTCAGAATTTCAATGTATTAAGTGTTCACAATCTGGTTATTTATAATATTGCACATTTAATATACAGAATACTTCACGGTAGTCTGAACTTACTGTTGGCTTGCCTTCATATATCACCTCGAGCTACTGAGTGTTTTCCATGCACCCGACTTTTACTACCAAAAATAAATACTAATTATGGTCATCAAATTTTGCAATTCAGAGGAACTACCATTAGGAATAGTCTGGCTGCTACTTTAAAAACAGCCCCGTCACTCACCTCTTTTCGAGCACAATTGAAAAATTCTATTAACATTAACTTGTCCTACTATAGAAATTTCTAGTTTTGAGTTTCACACGTATTTAAATTTGTACTTATACATATAACAGATTTTGTACCTTTTTGCACTCCTAACATTAAATTATGCCATGTATGCTTTAATGGTTTAGTAATGATTGCAATTTACTATAACTATTATGTGTTACTTTATTTCTGCTGTTTTTGATGTTAATTACTATTTATGCCTTGGCAATAACAATTGCCATTTAGTGTTTTTTTATCATGCCGCTAGGAACACTTAACAAATTTGCTGGATCCACCAAAATGTAAATACATGTACCAAAGAAAATACCAAATAAAATTCAAAACACAGCAGCCCCATGCTTTTTGGGTCAGCTATCTTCATTGGGTGCACAGAATATGGGCAGCACATTCAAGAACTGTATTTGTTATGTTTTTCAAAGACAACATTGCAGCATGCTTGAATCGCAGCATTGTTTCGCGTTCATGAAGCATTACGACTTGCCCCATGAGACCAGCTTTCATTGAGCACGAACATATGCTTTGCAACGCAGGAACGTAGATGACAGTAAGGCGAGATGTTTAATCTGGCAATGGTATCTCTCCACTTAAAACAACCAGCCTTTATACCAGTGCAACGCATTGAAATGACTGTTGAATGTGTTGAATAAAAACCAAGTTGCATCCCAATGACTGCCTGCGCTGTAAAGTTTCTTGATTAAAAAATTGAATGAGTATGCGCACGGCCAGGCAGATAAGCATTGTCAGTGCGAGGGTAATGAAATGTGTGCCTGAAGAACTGGTGAAGAGCGAAAGCTTTCCAAATCTGAGACAGCTATGCAAACAGCACAGTGCAAAGCTATATAAGCTGTTCTACTGCTGTGTTAATCAGAGCCACCATTCTCTTGTGGCCTTCATCACTAGAAGCTCTCTCCATTCATGAAAATATTCCATTGCCACCTCTGCTAGATTTATTCGTAATGCTTTCACCATACAGCTGTTATGTTTCTCCACTGTAAAGGAAGAAATTAAGCTCATACTTGCAAAAATTGCCTGCAGTTGCTGTCAGAGGAGTACTGCTGAGAAGGTGCCCTTGTGGTCAAGCAATCAACACGAATGATGCAAGCCAGTTACTGGGTTGGAAAGTTCGAAAGGACGTGTCGATCCAGTGTGGCCTACAAGAGATGGCCCCCCTGCCTCTCCAGAGAGAAATTAGTACGTACCTAGTAGCCACGTCTGAGAAAAGGCAATGGTGCAGCTTAGTGCAAAGAAATTTGGAAATTGTTAAAGGAGTTCAAACAGCAGTAAAGTGTTTTTCATAGCAGCGCTACTTTTTATGCTCACCAGTGGCAATGTCCATGGAATATTGTCACCATCAACATCAGAAGTAGTGATTCGACACGTTACTGCGGAGGATTTCACAAACTAAGTTGCTGCATTTTGTAAGAGAGGCAGCATCTGCAACAAATGAGTCAGCTGTCTATTTGTAGCAAAAGTGACCAGCAGATCAGTATAAAGATTGCCAAAATATTTACTATCGCTAAGCTTGCCATTGAACCTTGCGGCTTGTCAGCTTTGACTAGTGGTACGTGGCTTTCGTACTGGCTACCAGTGACGACTGCTGTCTATCACTCAAGATATTTTCCTGCGAAATTAAGCTGCCTATAAATCATAACTATGGGAGGTTTCTTGGTAAAAAAGGATGCGGGAACCTTGCACCAAGTCGTGCAAAGGTTGGCACAGTGCTCATACTCCCCGTCAACCAACATGTCTAGCTCTGAGATGTGCAGCTTCCTCCTAGGGCACCCTCATAGGGCAACTAGTGAATTCCTGGACATGATCAGGTGCAGCCAAGCTAGGTACGATAAAGAGGAGGCTGTGCACAATGTGTCCGTTAAATGGTATGGGCTATAGCTACTGCACATGTGCGGCTTGACCAGGTGGTGCAGTATCTAGTCTCTAGATGAAACTGTGCTTACTTCGTCATTCTCGATCTCTTTTATTGTAGTGCAGTTCTATCTCTCTATTTATCTCTCTCTTTTCAATGGTAAATAGGAGGTAATCACCATCGCATCTATCCTCACACTAACTCCCCTTTCTCACTACATACAAGGGTACGTTATGGTCTGCCAGCATGCCTAAGGCCCCTGGATAGCCGAGTGGTTAGGACGCTTGTTCAAATCCTGCCGTGGGAAGAATGTTTTTGTGGCAAGAACTTCTTTCTTTCTTCATGTCTTTCTTCTGTTTCTTTTGCTCTCTTTCTCTCTCTGCTCTTTCTCTCACCTATCTGGATGATTACAGGCCATGCCGTGTATTGGAGAGTAGAAGGATTGGCCAAATTTCGTGGCGCGTACCGATTCGCAATGGTGATAGTTTTTGGTACGGTTGCACACTCTACGCTGAGATAGAACAGCTTCATGGTTGAAACTTCGATTTACTGTGCTCTATCAAGTGCTTTGCTTGTGGTATCCACAAAATGTTTACACTGTTTAGAGCTGACAGCATATCACGTATGAAGTGATAGTGGGGTGGACAGGTAATGCAATTTGCACTAAGGTAACCTGCAATAATATTTGTATATACGTAGTGTTTGCAACTGGAGATTCTAAGCTCCAACAGTGGAGAGATTGAATGCACAGATTTCCCTACTTAGTTCTGGTTTCAAGATGCCGTTTGGCTCGCACTCATTAGTTTATCTAGCATTCAGCCAGTTATTTCTAAGGCTGCTTTACCATCATACCTGGGCTGTAGTGTTATGAAGCAAAAGCTTGGATATTAATAACTTTTCATTCACAATGCGGCGAAGCTCATGTGAAAGTTACGTGGAACATATTAGGTACAGAACTGGTGTCAAGAGAAGAGAGATGTGATTGACAGAATGTAACTCTCTGCCATAGACTTGTATTGGCCTGTGCGGACTAGTCATAGGGCATTGAACACGAAAGGCCTGAATAGAATAAAGTGCTAGCACAAGTGTACGTAATCTTGTGTATATACTGTATTTAATCGCGTAATGAACGGAATTTTTTTTAGAAAACTCCGAGCAAAGTTAAAGGTGCCCTTATTAAGCGGGGCATATTTTATGAAACTTTTTCTGGATGACCGAAAAATGCCGTAATGCAAAAAAAGAGTTGGGTCGCTTAGTCAGTTGCAATTGCCATATGCATACATTGTTTGGAAACATCATCTAGGTTGCACTTCACTTCTTTTCAGTGGTTGGAGGCGCTACCTGCTGCAAGCTGTCCCTGCACTGCCCGCGCTTTCCATAAAAGCGTTTCGCGGCCTTGTTTCCCCGCAATCGTTTAACCGCAACTGTGGTATCTGCTGTGATCTCATGGGGTGCCCAAAACCGCGCGCTACATCGCACTTTGCCAACTTCGTGGCAGCCTCACATGACAACAGCGACGTCATTGACATTGCAGCAAGCTACCACAGAAGCATTAAAACAAAGAGAAGATAACAACGTTAATGACAAAATATGATCGCCACCTCGCTGTCCACATGAGAAGTTACTGTAGAAAAGGTAGCCTATAAGTACGCATGGATAACAAGCATGAGCAGCAAATTGCAATCGCAACCGAAGTGAGAATCACGGATGCTACAATGTTGCGGGAATCATCACGATTTTTTTTGAGCGATAAGGAATTTCTTTCTGGTTTTCTAGAAACCTTAGACACAATGGAAATGAACAGCCCTTTGTGACAGCCCTGGCGACAGCAAATGCTGTTGTTGTCGCTCAAAAATCGTGTGCATGTGGTTGGGCCTGAAAGTTTTGCACTATTTACAGGAAGGGACCGCCGATTGGTGCTGGCAGTTTCATGACCTTCGCCCACTGTGTGCTTGTCAACTGCGATGTCTCTGCACTCGCATCGTTTGTGAACCCTGCTGTGAAGCATAGATAATTATGAAAGACTAGGGACATGTCGCACACAGATAGAAAAAAGATACGATCCACGGTAGCGGGCAATGGGGGGGAGGGAGCGAGCCGAGGGGGGCTAATAATAAAAAACGGAAGAGATCTAATGGGCAAGGAGGCACCGCGCATCAATTAGCGGGACTGCAGTGGATGAATGTAGGGGGTGCACTTATTACGCGAGAGGAAAAGCAATCCATATTTTGACTAAAGTTGGGGGTGTGTTTCTTATGCAAGTGGATTAATTATAAAAGTAAATACGGTAGATAGCATCGCTTGAAAGTGAAGTCATGTGTCATGTTTTCTTTTACAAATTGCAGTTTCATCAGCAACACCTGTGGAGAGCATAGGGACCGGAACAAGTTGCAACCAGGCTGGAAGTCTGCCCTCCGAGTTCAAGAATGGGATGAAACATGGCACAGGCAGTGCAGTGGGATGTCAGCAGCTGTTTCAGTGCCATCGCTGCGAGTATTCCACTCCTAAGCTTCATAGGTTGACCTGTCATTTGCAATCACACAGCGCCGAGAAGCCTTTCCGATGTGAGGTCTGTCCAGCAGCATTCAAGGGTGTTCACGCCTATAAAGCCCACATGTGCAAACACACGGGAGAAGTGCTCTACCAGTGCCATCTTTGCCCATATACGACTTCCTACCGGACACTCTTAATGGATCACAAGAGAGCTCACTTGAACACCATGTCTTTTGCCTGCAACATGTGCGCATACAAAACTAAGAAGAAGGCAAACCTGCATATGCACAAGCTCTACCACAAAAGGGATATGCCTTTCAAGTGCAAAATCTGCTCTTTTGGTTACAATGACAAGCGGTATTTAAAAAGTCACATGCGGCAACACTTGAAATCATAGCTCTGCCGGTGATTGTGGCAATTCATGGAAGCAGCATCCACCATCCCGCGCCTTCAAAGATGAGCCGATGCCAGCGACAAGTTGAATGAAAGAAGAAAGGCATTGATGCCTGTTTTTGTACATGTGAATCTCTGCATGCATTGTGTACATCACTAATGGAATGAATGTTTCAGACTCTGAAACCTTAACAGGACAGCTAATCAACAACACAGTCGTCTGCATAACATGCTGGAACATCCATATACCAAACTTTGTTGTACCTCAGTGCATTCTTCAATGATGCAGATGGTGTTGGACATGCCATTTATCATTCCATATATCTTGCCAATGTGTGTTCATCAAGATGCTATCACAAGCAATAAAGGAAGTTGCACCAGTCAACCCACATCTGACCCACTGAAGTTATGAAAAAAACAGGCAGCCAAAGCATTCAAGTCTTGTCATACTGTCAGATTGCATCGCTACCCATGCAAGCAGTGAATGGGACATCTGTTTAGTGGATAATAAATTATTATTATTATTATTATTGGGTCAGTTTGAGTGAAACCTCCCAGCCCAAAATTCGACCACCAGCGATTCTATAGAAAAAAACTGAGCTAGAAGATCAGTGCACGAGAGTGATTTAAGTAAGGTATTTTCGTTCAAAAAAATTTCCTGATCACATGACCGCCTTTTGAATGTTCCGGAGAAGAGCAAGTTAGGTAGGAATAACTTATGTGCATAGAACTTTGAAACTGGGTACAATGACACATTGTGATTTGAAGCATTGTGCTGTCGTCGTTCTTTCATGTGACGTCACAAGTAAAGCCGTATATTAATATTCATGCTCAGAAAGGCATACCGAAAAGGAGCTAAAAAACATGCAAGTTCAGGCATTTTTTATAAATACAAGAGCGTAGTTTCAGCTGCAAAAGTTTTTTGGCATTATTAGTCAATATAGTGTCTGTGAAAAATACTTTCAACTCATCTGAAAGAACGTTTATTGAGAGAAATGCTTGCAAAGTTAAGAAAAAATGACTTTTTGGCACTTGTGAATTAAGCATGAAGGGCATCGCAATAAAAATATACGAGATCATTCATTTATGCTCCAACGTCCTCTCTTAGGATGTAGAAATTTTCGTTCTTGTAAATTTTGTTTAAAGTGAAAAAATGGCAGATCCCACGTACAGTTGCAATCGATTATATGCGAACCACGAATGAGGAAGGTTTATATGTCAGTGTAAAATCAGGACAATGTTACGTGGCGGAGGCAAATTATGTCGTACATAACTTTTATGCCATAATTATTATAATTGGACATGTCATTTACCTTCACCATCTATTCACGCAACCCGACACCAAATTTGGTATATGTGGAGCTAGCAAAACAGCCGCGAGCATGCTATGAGCGTAGCATGTAGTCATGTTTTACATGACACGCATATCATGATTATCATGTTCGGACGTGTAATTTAACTTCGCCGTCTGTTGAAGTCATGTGATACCAATTTAGTATACGTGAAGCTAGAGAAACTACCACGAGCGCATCATGAGCGTTGCATGTGGTCGTGTTGTTACATGACACGCATCGTATGATTATCATGTCTGCACCAGTCACATCCCTTCGTCGTCTATTCACGTCCGATAATACCAAATTTGGTGTATGTGAAGCTAGCGAAACGGCAGCGAGGGCATCATGAGTGTGGCTTGTAGTCTTAATGTCACATGACACGCATCTCATAATTATCATGTTTGCACCAGTCACATACCTTGTCATCCATTCGCATCACGTAACGCTGAATTCGGTATATGTGAAGCTAGCGAGACGGCTGTGAGCGCATCATGAGCGTGGCGTGTAGTCATGACTTACATGACATGCATGTCATGATTTCCACGTTACGGCTGTCGCTTGTGTTCGCCACGCAATCATGCCATACTATACCAGTTTTGCAACATTGCATGTGAACCAGACCACTGCAACAGCAGCAAGACCATGAAATGTAAATAATGACATTCATGACATACATGTCATGATTTTCATGTTATGACTAGTCAAATGCACTTGTCATACAGTCATGTTATGTCATACCAAGTTTGGTATTGATATCAATATCCAAACGGCCAGGAGAGCTAAAAGTTGTAGGCGGCTAGGTAGATAAATAGATAGGTATGCTCAAAGTCGCCGAAGTTCGCTAACAAATGCTAAGAATTTCGCTAAGAAAATAATTTTTGAAGTTCATAACCAACGTCTATGGTAGGCACTGACAAACTACATATGCGCAGCTGCCTCTCCTGGTCATGTTACATTTTTCGTCGACTGCTGCAAAGCAGACGGCAATAGGTATGTAACCTTAGTTTAAATTTTCAGATTTTTTTCTTTGCTTTTGTGTGTTTTTTGGAGGGAAAAAAAATGTCTAAGAGTCAAATTAGGATCTTTTTTTTTTTTTTGCTTGCACATCTGTTTTCGCATTCGTCAGTCCAGTGACGATTCTGCATCTCGCGAGTTGAAAGTAACAGAAGACGGTAGACAAGGTATTCATTGGGCTTCTACAATTATCCTAAGCAGAGTTCGAGCTTACAGATTCTCAATATGTTGTAGTAGCCAACAGGACTTGGTGCTGCAACTGCAGAATGGATGACAGAACTCAAAACTCCTCAACAAAGCCGTCATGAATCCTCATCATTGGCTTTTGGAGGTAACGAAATGTTCCTGGAATTAACTCGTCAATTTTAATTGTACAATTCAGCAACATAGCGTGTAAAAAAAACATTTTGCTATGTTCTTTGTGTCTTCATCACGCATAAAAATACATCCTCTATCGAGAGCATGCAGATTTTATGGTGTTACCTGCATTTGCTTGCATTTGTGGTTACAGATTAACATGTTATAAAAAATGAACTACTCAGGGGAACCAGGAGCATGATAGGGAGGTCAAATGCGGCTTCGCTCGAGGCCGAGACATATACTTAGAACATTTTTTTCTTTTTTTTTTCCAGAAAATGAACTTCAGCCATGCACTCTCGAACCAAAAAACTGCCACAACACGCATTACTGCAGCCGGCGGCAACTGACAGCTGTTTGCAGTTTGAGCAATCAGCGTCTTCTCGTGCTGCGCTCGAAGCTAAGTCTGCATGAAGGTGCAACAATTTGTGAACACCACAATGAACATTATTTTTTTATTTATTTAGAACATACTGGGAACCATAAATGGTCCAAACAGGAAGGGCACATCACATAAAAAAAACAGAAATAACATACACCATACATAATGCAATTCACTCTACTTAATTCACAATGAATGGGGATCACATAATTTGTTCCAATCAGACACTGTTTGTGGAAAGAAAGAATACATAAAGACATCAGTTCTCGCTAATATGGGGTAAGCAAATTGGGATGGTGATGTCGGGTCTGCCTAGTTGATAGGAAAGATAGATACGGTGATGGAGCACGAGTTTATTGTTAAGTAGCAAGAAAACGAAATCAAGCCATTGTTTGAGTCCGCGCGAAGCAAGTGGCTGAATGCCATTTGCAGATATTAGTGCAGAGGGTGAATCAGATGGTATTTGTTGTATAGGAAATGAACTGCTTTCCTTTGAACCCGCTCAATTTTATCAATATTAAACTTAGTCTAAGGGTCCCATACTGTGCTGGTGTATTTTAATTAGGTCTTACAAAATAAAAATAACTAAGAAGCTTTACATTTGGAGGGCAGTTACGCAGTTTATGTCTTAAAAAGTCGAGTTTTCGGAGGGCAGCTGAACATACGTTGTCTATGTAGACTTTCCAAGATAAATTGTTAGTTATGGTCAAGCCCAAATATTTATAGCTAGTGACCTCTCTCAAGTTTGACGGCCCTAGTTGGTAGATATAGTCTAGCGGATTTTTTTTACGTGTCAGACGCATACAGACACTTTTGTCTATGTTGAGGGTCATTCATTACACCACTGATATAATATTGGAAAGATTTGTGTTAAATTCGTTTTGATCATGAACAGAGTAAATATCACGAAACAAAACACAATCATGGGAAAATAATGTAATTTGTACTGTAGGTGTTATGACATTGACAATATAGTTGATATAAAATGAGAAAAAGCAATGGCCCCAGTACACTTCCCTTGGGCACACCTGATGAGACATGAAAAGATGGTGAACGATGGTCATTAATGGCAACAAACTGTGACCGGTTAGTAAGATATTCGGCAATCTAGTTAACGAGAATGTCTGGAAGGCCAATCGGCTTAAGTTTCTGAATCAGTTTATCGTGAGGTACTCTGTCAAACGCTTTACTGAAATCTAAGAAAATTATGTCAGTTTGCTTATTGTTATCAAGATTTAGTGCAAATAAGTGGATTACTGTAACCAACTGTATTACTGTTAAATATACCTTTCTAAACCCGTGTTGAAATTGTGTCAAAATAGAATGTTGGTCCAAAAAATTTACTATTTTGGTGGCAATTATATGTTCAATTAATTTACAGCAGGATGACGTTAAGAGATATAGGACGATAATTTTGAAGAGAAAGACGATCCCCTTTTTTGAATATGGGACGAATGCGAGCTGCCTTCCAGTCACTTGGTAGCTTTGATGACAACAACGAAACAAATATCTTTACCGATATGCTTCGAAAATTGCTTCAAAGCTGTGTTCGAACCCATTTTTTAAACATACAAGAAGCTGTCGCGCGTCGACAGTCATTACAGTGGCCATTGCTGATGCCCACCCTTTTTTCGTGCTTGTTCCGAGAAATGGACTTTGTGAAGCTTGCAGGCCCAAGTTATTACTGCCCGAAAGAATGTGCACCCTGAGCAAGAACTCACTGCGCTGTCTCCATGAAGCGAAGGTACGTCTGTAGGTGCAGCTGCTGAAGCGGAAGAAGAGTTTTTAGAAGCAGATAGTGGTAGCAGAAAGAAACAAGGACAGTATGAGCGAGGACTTTGGCCTTGCATGAGGACTTTGGCCTTGTTCTCCGTGTGATCTTGATGCAACACCTCAAATAGATGTTTTCGCAAGAACAAAGCCGTGAGAAAAAGCTTCAATACCTTACTCTGACCCCACAGTCCTGGTCTCGTGAAAATATCATGCAGTTATTTGGTGCCTCAGGAAGACAAGTTCGTGAAGCTTGAAGATAAACTCTCGTGATGGGATTTTAGGTACATGAGATAAAAAACAAGGCCACTCAATCAGTGAAGAAATAAAATCATCAATAAGAGAATTCTATGAGGATGATTCGGTGACATATTGCTTATTAGGAAAAAAAGACACGTTGCAAAGCAAACAAAAGCGGCTAATTTTGATGAACCTGGAAGAGAAGCATGAAGAATGGAAGAGGATATACGATTTAATAAGTTGGTTCTCAAGATTCGCCTCATTGCGCAATCGCCTCTGTATCCTGGCTGGTGGGAGTAGCACGCACACAGTGTGTGTGTGTATGAGTCACTAAAACTTTAAAGTAATGTTTCATTCCAGTGGCCTCAGAGAGACAATCGAAGAGCTCTTGGTTACATTGGTATGTGAAATTAATGAAGATTGCATGTTC